AAGGTTTAAAGTATTCAAACGGTTGGTTTTTAAGGTGTGAAACATTACAAACCAACATAAGGCCACTTCCTCACTGCAATAGCCATGCAAATTCACTGCAGTAGCTATACAACAATCAACATGAGGCCACTTCCTCACTGCTGCACTGTGTGTTGATATTCTGAATAGTATCACACAAAATACTAATTAGTTTCTACTTTCTTTCCATATTAAAATCTCTAAGTGATGGATCTGACAGCTACAAACCTACAAAACATGTTGATAGTGGAATGAAGATATACTCATAATTGCTTGCGTAGCGGCCAAGTGTCGTAACACTTCTTCTGGTACGATCATTCCTGTCTCCTGGTAAAGGTTCTACAAGTGTATTGCAAGCATAGAAATTTCAGATTCAAATAATTAGATAATTCACATATAATATTTGTAAACAGAACAATGTGTTCTTGTTTAAAATGTACTTGAAACAAAGGTGATAGTCAATAACACCTCGCATCAAATTCAAACTAACTAATAGTAGTTTCTACATGACACGAAGTAATTCGACACAAAAGATTATGCCAACAAGCCTACAAGAGTAAGTAATCATGGAGCAAAAATGACATGATAGAAAGGCATATAGTCAGGCACACGATCTATGCAGCTAGTTTTTTTTGTGGTTCCTCTAATATCTCACTTTTTCTAAGTTATTTTTTTTTCTACAGTACAGAACCAAAAATCAGCAATTCTTGCATACTCTAGCCAGCTCAATACCTTTCATCTTGTCAATATCCTGTGCTGCAAGCATGACTGCATATGTGAATTACACATCAGTCATCATAGACTGCTTTAACCTTCATGCTACCTGCCAAAAAGATTGTGAACCCACAAATATAAATTAATAATAACATCAATTAAGTTAGATAGATATTGCACTATAATCAAGTTAAACGAACTAGAGGGAACTGTAATCAGGAAAAAACTAACTTTATGATAAGACTCAGTTCATTCTATCAAAGAACAGAGGTTAACTCTTAGGTCACAAGCCAGTTTGATTTAAATTGAAGGCCATCTACTGAGAAATAGCAAGGAATATCAGCTGACCAATGAGTTCATCATTTCCTAGGTTAAAGAAATTATTTCACAAAGAACACACAACAACAGTGACATGCTTGAGTTGATAGGCAGTAAATTCATGTATAGCATACAAGCTGCTATGCAATGCATGATCAATCAGGGAATTATATAAGCACGTGGAAAAGCACCTGTTGATGTCAAGGTTCACGGAATTGAAGTGCAAAAATTTAGAATACACTCTTATTGTATCTTTTCGATGTAATGACGGTGAATTAATAAAATCCTTCCTTTATCAATTTTTTTTTGCAAAGATATAATCCAAGTGTGCGTAATTAAAGAAGAAAAGTAAGTGGTTAAATGCATATCTGTACATGAAGCACTATGAAGAACATAGATTCTGCATAATAACAACCGGAAAAAGGTACATATGTAGTTGCTCTAGAAAAAACAAATAAGCACATATTGTAAATGATGGATACAGCATAAGCACTAGAAAAAACACGAAGGTTCACTCCCATTACACATGTTATATCTTCAATACTATTTCTCAATTAATATCTAATGATTGACCTGTATATATTCTCGTCCTATAAGAATATCTCGGGATTAGATCAGATCAGATCTGTTCTGATTGTGAATATAAATAGCCAAATAGATTAAATTAGGGTTTCGAAGCTCAGTTTTGCACAAAAGGGAGGGAAGAGAATTAGAGAAAGATAGGTATACCTGGTGCCGCGGGTGCTCTTCACCGGCAAAGGGCTCAACGAAGACTTGCACAGCTAGAAGAGGGGCTCACCTTGGCCACCAAAAGGAGGTTGCGCTCGGAGCTGTAGATTCGGATACCAGGGCGGGGAGCCGGGGAGGGGCAGCGCCTGGGAGAGGAGGGACGGCACGCCGGGCCGAGCGCCGCACGGGAAGGGCTGCGCCCTGGAGGAGCAGCGGTTGGTTGCAGAGAACAACGTCGAACCGGCGGCGAAGCTCCTTGGTGCGGCAGGAAGCAGATCTGGGGGCAGCGGGCAGCGGCCATGGAGCTGGGGTGGCTGGCGGTGGCCTGCAGGCACCGGATGTGGAGATGGGGCGATGGGCCTGGAGCTACGAGACCTAGGAGCGACGGGAGTGCGGGCGTGGTGTCGGGCAGGTGCGGGTGGGGCGTTTAGGATAGGGATGGGCGGCCGCGTCTGGAGATTGGTTTAGGGGGTTTTGTGTTTCTTTTTTCACAGTCTTTTCTATTGCACACCGCGCCAATACCAAAAGTCAGGCGCTAATGCCGAAAACAGGGCGCCAAAGCGAAATCCACACGGGGGACTTATTTTTTCTATGCGTATATAATTTTAATCTATGTATAATATAAAAATTGACAGAATAATTGTAATTTTTCTATGCGTATATATAGTTTTTCTGTGAGTTTTGAAAAGACCGACAGAATAATGACAATTTTCCTGTGTGTATTGACACGCACCGATTTTTCTGTGGGTTTTCGAATATTTCTGTCGGGATTTTTGAAATACACACCTTAATTACCAATTTTTCTATGTGTATAGAAAAAAACGCATAGAAAAATTCATCTACGGTAGTATTCGAGTTTCTAAGTAGTCGTGGTCGTCCACGAAGCCGCCCTCCTGCTCCTCCTCGTCGTCCACGAAACTCTCGTAGTCGTCCACGTCCACCACGACGCCGTCTCCGTGGCAGTCGACATCGACGTCGTTGTCGCTGCCATGCGGCGCGCTACTGCGCTCCTCCCCCTCCTGCGGCTCGGGGCACGCAACGACGGCCGCCGCGCCGACGGCCGACTCCTCGAGGAACCGCAGGAACTCGTCGCGAACTTCCCCCTGCAGCCACGCCACCGGGACGCGCGTCGGCGGCGCCGGCGCGGCCTCCTCCAGCTCCAGGAACCGAAGGTACTCGGCGAGAACGTCGCCCTGGAGCCACGCCACAGGGAGCGGCGGCGCGGTCGTTAAGCGGACAGCAGGCTCCATGCGCCGCGCGGCGCTCGCGGGACAAGGGGGACGGATGCCTTGGCTGGCGGCGGAAGGAGCGCGCGCCGGTTGGATGATAGGATGGATGGCGCGTGCGGCAGCGACTCGCGAGGCTTTGTACCGCGGGCGAGCGGTCGGAGGGCGAGTCGGTGAGGTGCATCCAGGTCGGAGTCCGACTCCGTATAGTATGGGGCTCGTCGCTGATGGAACCATTTCCTTGCTAATTTTCGCCACCATTAGGCTCGACTAGGAGAAGGAGAAGACAATGACAACAACGATGTATGAGTGCAAAATAAGAATACTCCAAGAGATGACTCATCACTATATATATTGCATAGAGAATTGCCGGTGTTTAATTTTACCGTATCATGTGTCTTCAAATGGTAAATGAATGGTGCATCCTCAAGTCAAATATATTACGACTTAAGCAACAAATTAACCAGTATTACCAATACGGTGATCCCATTGGTATACCAGTTTGGGCAATCTAACACTCTTCTCCATTTGATCCATCATCATTTTCCCTTATATTTGTATTTTGAAAGAAGTGTAGTTAAAGCGTGGTCCGAATAAATGAATTTTATCTTTCTTGTATATTTGAACATATAGGGGTTTACTAATTACACACACCTTATGTCCCCTATGTCTTTTAAATCCATATTTAAGCATGCGTGTTTGATGTAGGTATCTTTTGATGGTTCGACGTAAAATATGGTAGTGGAAACTTGACAAGAAACCCAAATTTATCATATTTTTTGTATTCACAGATGTTGATGGACTTTGGCATTCCATTTTGGAATGCCGTCACACTTATCTCCGAGAGTTTTCCAAACCCACTCTCAATTTTCATTTTTGTTTGCAGTATTGAAAAAACCGCTCTCCAACAACTCCTTATCTCAACTCCAATCCTTCTGCAGTTGATAAAATCTATTGAATGGCGTGGAAATATAAGCGCCTATCTGGAGGTGGAAGGACGTGAGGAAAAATAAGAGTAAGAATGGGGTTCCCAATGCAAATATATAGAGGGAAAGAAATTATAAAAAATGGTTGGGATGATTTGGAAATAGTTTGGAATTTCTGATGTAAAATTATCTCCTATATATTTAGGAGTAAGATTTTGAAAGTGGTTGGAGGACCCAACAAATATGCTCCTAACTTTTTTAGCCACTTGGAAAACTCATTGGTTTACCAATTGTTTTTTTGAACTATTGGAGATGATAAGGCCCATAACGACATTTAACATGCTTGTAGAAGTATTTGAAATGACTAATATTTCATTGATGCCTCTCACGGTTATGTTCTTGTTGTGTGCGTCAAACCTATAAGATATAAAATCTAACTCTGTTTAATGTTTAATTTAAACCAACAATAACTCAAACATCCCAACATGTTGGAGCTATGTTCCTAAGACCAGTCTCAATAAAAAATTATAAGAGTTTAATGAACATTAAATAAGCTGACATGACATAATATAAATGAAGAGAGAGGTGACAAAGGTTTTATGAGGATGAAACTCGTTCATTTAAACACATGGGAGTCTCAACAGAACCATATAAAACTCCCACTAAGACTGTATAATAAAAAACCTAAGCGTCCGAATTCATTGAGTAACAAAGAAAGAAAGAAAAAAAATAGAGCTTCGGCTATTTGGACCAACGCAACTTGGGCTGGCCTTACGAGAGGCAACAAATGGCCTTAACACCGAGCCCACAGCTTTTCAAAACCCTAGCCCAGCCCATGACCAAAACCCTAACTCCCAAGAACAACAAGCGGCCTCATTCTTAGCGGCCTCATTCATTACCTGCACGGCGGCGACTCTGCTCTGAGTTGCTGACGGCGAGCGGCGCGGACGACGAGCAGGCAGCCCGCGGCGTGCCACGGGAGTGCTAGGCGAGGCTGTTAGGGCCATATAGCCGCATCGGACCAGTGTGGCAGCGAAGCGCGACCGAGGAGGTTAGAGCGCTCGCCGCTATGGCGCCGCCGCGCGGCGACAGGAAGATGGGGAAGGGCGCCGGTGGCAAGACCGACCTGCGCCCCGACCGGAAGCAGTTCAAAAGGCACAGCAAGGAGGATGCAGCTGCTGAGCAGGGGGATGGCGAAGGAGAGCAGCAGCAGTCGGCAGCGCCGGGTTCTGCTGCGCTCCTCGCCGCAGCTTCTGACGAAGCTGACTTCCCGAGAGGTAAGCGTCGAGCTGCGCAGTCCCGCAACACACTCCTCCCTCGTCCCTGTCAATTTTGCTTTGCACTGATGTGTTGTTCTGCGATTGGGGTGGTGCGCAGGGGGACGCAGCCTCCTGAGCAAGGATGAGGTGGCGGAGGCTCGTGCGGAGGCGGAGCAGGATTTCGAGAGGGAGGGGAAGAAGGGGAAGGGGAAAAGGAAGAGGAGGGGCGGCGACTCGTCTGGTTTTGGCGCGGATGACGACTTGGGGACACTCTTCGGCGGGGCCACCACTGGGAAGCTCCCACGCTTTGCTAATCGCATCACAGTAAAGGTTACCCTCTTAAATTCAGTTAGTATGTAGCAATGGGCAGACCTTCCAATTGAATTGCATCATAGGCCCTTAACCTTGAAATCTGCACATTTAGGGTCTCTTAACTGCTCAGCATAAGTCAAGAGTATTGTTTATCTAGCGATTAGAAATGAGAAATTGCTAGAGACCCTAAGTGTGATCCCCTGTTGTGCACTTCTCTCTAAATAGTCAGCCTGTTAAAGAGAGTGGTTGTCAAGTTGTATAACCTTACATGATAGAATTAAACCTTGTCCATTATAATGCTATGATGTTTGATTCATGCTGGTCGCTCTAAGCTCAAACCATCCTCATATGCCTTGAGCCCTTCAACAAGTGCTGGAGTGTGATTTCATGCACCATGTAAACAGTAGATTAGTTTTTATGAAGTTTTAAAATCTCGGAAGGACCATTGAGTTGTGATATGCATTCATATTTATCTGGTAGCATGAAATGGGTTCATTAGAGTCAGAGGCAAGCCTTGACTGAAAAAAAAACAAGAATCTGGATCACATATTCTTAAGATCATTTACATGCTGTCCCACTTGGCACACTTGTCCGCATTATATGATTTGCAAAATTCATATGTTTTTGTCTTAGCTACTATCCAAATTATTCAAGCATTTTAAATTTGGAGAGTAACTTGACTAAGGTGCACACACCATTTTGTTAGAAGTTAGAACCATGGTTATCGAGGTGGTAAGACAAGGCATGGCGACTGACTACTGCCTTACGCGTAAGCAGCTAAGGTGTGAGGTGAGCCGAGGCGACGCCTTACCACTCGAAGGAAAATGCAAAATAGCAGGGTAGAGCCTCGGAGGATGGAGAAAAAGGAAAATAGGGAAAAAAGTAAGGAGGAGGAGTAAAAAGTGGGCTAGACCAGCCCATGTGCCCCTCCCCTCCTGGTGTGAACCTGTACATGAAGTCCCCAATCCCCTCTCTCCCGATCTTCAGCGCCACAATTGCACCTCTGCCCCTCTCGCTCGCTTTCCTCTCTCCAACTCTCTGCTGCTTCCCCTCCTTTCCCAAACCACTCTGCGCCCCTCAATCGAGTGCTGCTGACATCGACAGGTGTGAGACAGTGAATTCAAGATAGCAGCAGCAGAGCCAAGCAGGGCTAGAAGCAAAATTAAACGGGCCAGCAGCAGAATCGAGGGGGATACGGTGGAATCGATGGGGTGACCGCATACGCAGGCGAAGGGCCTCTGTGGCGATCCTAGACCGATCTGACGCTTAAGCAACACTTGAACAATTTCTTAATAACCATGGTTATGACTAATTGTCTATTTCTGTCCTCTTCCAAATAAACACAGAATTATTGGTTCGTGGGGCTCTACCTCTCTTCTCCACCAAGCGCAGAGCAACTGGGGCTTGACCCTGGCGCCTGTCATCCTCAAGCAGGCTATACTCCCTGCCCATTCCAATTATTCAATGGCTTAAGAAGCTAGTCTTTTATTCTTATGTTGTCAATTTGCACTGAACTTCTCTGGCATGTTTGGTCTAATGAATAGCTGGTGAGAGCAAATATATTTGCCATTGTTATTCCTGGAAGCGTTTCAGATGGTTCAGATGACCATTCAAACCCTGCAGCACATATACTGATGCACTTCCCATCCAACCTTTGTCATATTTTTGAGCTAAACGCTCTCCATAAAAGGCTAATGGATTAGCCTGTTTTAGACAGTTTCAGTTGCAGTTGCTGGAATATTGTACAAGTTATGCACCTCGATGCGCATTAAGATTAAGGTGATGTAGTGCTACATACGGATCACTCATTGGTCATTGCATTAGTTGAGGCTGACAGGGTTGCCATTTGGTCCTTTGAACGAGATGTCTAGGTTATATATCGCTAGCTTTGTATTGGGTGGTGTTAGTGTGATTATTCTTATTTGTTACCTTGAAATGTTTGGATTTTGGAACATGTGATGACTGGCCTCAGGTTGGTAGCAAATGTCCTTATTTTAAGTCAGCTATGTGTACTATCTGTATCTATTTATTGAGAGCATGTTAACATGGACATGTAGTGGTCAGTTCTGGGATCTCCTATTGTTGTTGTCTTTAAATTCTTCACAAAATGCTGCTATATTGCTGAACTGGTCATGACATTTCCCTCCCTTTGTCAGAATATTTCACCAAATATGAAGCTCTGGGGTGTTGTAATTGAGGTTAACCAGAAAGATATCGTGTTAAGTCTACCTGGTGGAATTAGAGGGTTTGTTCGCTCAGAGGATGTGTGCGACATTGCTTTGCAGGAAAATCGTAAGGTAGATATTTTCTTTTTAAGTAATCCATAATTGATATTTCTTTGTCAGTGATTTGCCATCTGGTGAACCAACTGATACTGTTCTTTTGCAGGATAGTGAGAACAGTTTATGTGCAGAAGTTGTTCATGTTGGTCAGCTTGTTCCTTGTATAGTCCTACGAGTTGACGATGATAAGAAAGAAGGAAAAGTAAACAAACGGGTTTGGCTATCATTGCGATTAAGCCTACTGTACAGGGGACTTTCCCTGGATGGCTTGCAGGAAGGAATGGTAATTTTTAATCACCCTAATCTGGATGTGCTTCATAAGCTGAGCTTTTGGGGCAGAAAAATATCAACTATGTATGGTTGTTTCATTGTGCACCTCTGTCCTTAATATTTTTATATTATAATTCACAACCATTCAAGTGTTTGGTTCTTGATTAAATGATTTGATTATTCTACTGAAATTGTAAATGGAGCATGTTTTCTGAAGAAAAGTTGGGGCAAAAATTTACATGCAAAATCAGAATAACTGGTTAGAGCATGCACACACAAGCTTGCTAATATCTGTAGGAGCATATACACCCAGAAAAGATCAGATCCAGTTTGTAGTGAAAAAAAAAATCCTAACAGGCTATTGGGAACATTCACCATTTTAAAATAAATCTCATTTCCTCCTCACCCTGTCCCATGAGACATGGTCACATGCACCTCCCTTCCCTCCCTCCCCCCTCCTGCCCTATTTGTGGAGTTTACCAGGTTTTTCAATAAATTATTGAGCTTATCTAACTAAATGTTTGTTTATAATAAATCGGTTGTTCCTTTGATAGCTATACTGAATACTGAGTCTACATATGTGGAGGTGTTAACAGTCTTGCAACCGTATCGAAAACAAGGAGCTTGACAGGGCATGCTTGACTATATTGATTTTTTTGCTACCTGATTACTACTACTTGATCTGCAGTATGCTAGATTTACTTAACCTTTTCTTTGTAGGCCCGTTTTATGCTGCCTGCTATTTTTTTGACTTCCTAAAATCCTGCCTGTCGAACTTCCTAAAATTTGACAATTGATGCATTTAAAGCTATCGGGATTTGCTGTGTGAAAATTATATTACTAGAAATGCATCCACAAAAGTGTTATTTTATGATTATATATTGATGTAAATTTATAGAAGGTAGAGGCCAAAGTCACATCATAGGGACCATGAAATGTCAAAAGCATTCAAACATAAAGAATGGAGGGAGTAGTTCCCATTGGAAACAGTTAGATTCTGAGTCAATTTTTTTATGTAATGGATGCACATGTATGCGTTTCATTAGGTACTTACTGCCCAAGTCAAAAGCACTGAGGACCATGGTTACATTCTTCATTTTGGAGTATCCTCCTTTAGCGGATTTATGCAAAAGGATGACAAAGGTACACTAAATAATAAATTCATCAGATCGTGAAATACTGGTGTTTCTTCATGACATATTTATATAACTGATTTCACTAGCTGATGTTCTAATAGCACATGCTCATATTAGACTGCGCTCCCTGATAACATATAAGTTTTGCCTAGCAATCTTGAAGTTCTTTCTATCTGTTTTAGTTTGGACTGGACTTCCTGTTCTAGCAGGCTTGGTAGCTTATGAGCTTGTGGTTATATTGTTTTGTACAGTTTCAATATTCTAAACATACATTTTGTGCGAAAATACAAATGATCTCACCCTTCTCTTATATGCTTTCTTTTTGGTGTATTTATGCATAAATTCTTTGTTGTCTTCATGTTTGTAGTTCATGCACTTTTATAAGGCATAGCGTGGAGTATATAAAACGTTGTGGTGTTTCTTATGTAAACTTTAAGCTGCTCTCTATAGATTTATATGCTTGCTAGAAGGATAAACATTAGTGTTATTTGTCTTACTTAATATGGGCCATATACTTGAAATCTGTTTGATCTCTCCCATTGCCAATGCTGATCGTGATATTCTTTCTAGGGAGGTACTCAGGGAGTTGTTTAACTGTTGTTCTCTTGTACAGAAAATGTGAAGATTGAGCGCCGACAACTGATGCAATGTGTTGTGAAGGCGATTGACAAAACTCGGGCTATTGTTCACTTGAGTTCTGATAAAGACTTGCTTTCTAAATCTATTGTATGGCAAATCACTATAAATGCTATTTAATATCTTCTTTATTCTGATTGAGACCTGACACCTCTAATTTGTGGTTTATTGTTGTTTTTGTATAGATTAAGGATCTGAAAGGCCTTTCTATTGATCATTTGATTCCTGGGATGATGGTTAATGCACGCGTCCATTCAGTTCTTGAAAATGGAGTCATGTTATCATTTCTTACTTATTTCAGTGGAACAGTAAGCTATTTTTTCACATACTAGACTCATTTTTGGCTTTACAGGAGTGTTTGTATTTCATTTCACAGTGTGTTCCTTCTATTGTCAGGTTGATATTTTTAATTTGTTGAATTCCTTTCCCTCTGGTAATTGGAAAGATGATTACAGTAAGAATAAGAAGGTATTCGCTATTTCTTATTTTTTGTTGATATAATTGTCGTGTCTGTGGCACCTACATTTTTGCAACATCTCTGATAGTCTGATGTTTTTTTTTACGATATTGGATATCTGGAGTGATTTTCTGAGTACTTCCACTATAATTTACAGGTAAATGCTCGCATCCTGTTCGTTGATCCATCAACAAGAGCAGTTGGGCTTACATTGAACAAACATTTACTTCATCTTGAAGTACCCCCTATTGTAAGTTGTCTGTTTTGGCATGATAATCAGTTTGATGTATTCTTATATGTTCCCCTTTATGCCTGTAAAGTTGGCCTCTGTAGAAAATAGAAGTGCTGTTATTTTATTCAGTGTTCTTTTTTGATTGGTAATTCTTCCTCATGCAGAATCTAAAAGCTGGAGATATCTACGATAAATCAAAGGTGCTGAGGGTAGATAAAAAGGCTGGTCTTTTTCTTGAAATACCTTCTCCAACTCCATCACCTGGATTTATTAGTGTATGTGAAACTGTAGTGAATATTTTATTATACTTCATTGTTGAATGATGTGAAAGCTCTCACAAAGATGCTTCTTAATATGCTGATATTGTAACCTGATCCTCAGATACATGATGTGTCAGACAAGGATGCAAAAAACTTGGAGAAGTTTAAGGAAGGCAGTAGCTTACGTGTCCGTATACTTGGAGTGCGGAATCTTGAAGGAGTTGCAATAGGCACCGTAAAAGTAATTACACCATGTCACCTATTTTTTTAAGCAATGGTATTCGTCAAAAGGAATGCTAGTGGCACACTTATACTATTGTGTCCTGATTTATTTCACTTGAATGTTTAATTTTCAACAAAGATACTGAGCAACTTTCTTTTATTTTATCTTTCATAGCTCATGTCACCTCATTTAACTTTTGGCATCGGTTTGGTGACTCATGCCTTTTGAATTTGTTGTGAACGTGCATGTATATTATATCCATGTTTACATGGTAATATAAGAGTTGCAATAGTGCAAGCTGTTAATTGGTTTTCATATGGTTTAGAAGACTTGCACTGTTGTGAACATGCATATTTAGTATATGTCCATGTTTACATGATAATATAGGTTATTGATATTTGTTGAGTCAATTTTATTGCCTTAGGATCTCTATGCTCTCTGTGTTTGCAGGACAGTGCTTTTGAAGGGTCTGTTTTCACTCATGATGATGTTAAACCTGGAATGTTAGTGAGAGCTAAGGTTGCTACTGTTGAGCCATTCGGTGCTATTGTACAGTTTTCAAGTGGTGTGAAAGCACTTTGCCCGCTTCCTCATATGTCAGAGTTGGAACATATTGTGAAACCATCAAAGAAATTTAAGGTTGCTCATTTCCACTTCCAATTGTTTGATGTTTTTTTTGGGAAACTATGTTAAGAGATGTTGAATATGATGATGAATGAACTTTAACTTTGTTCTTTGTGTAGGTTGGAGCTGAGCTTCTTTTCCGTGTATTGGGCTGCAAATCCAAGAGAGTTACAGTGACATACAAGAAGTCTCTGGTACTTTGCTCTTACCTTATGAATTTCTATGAATTCTGGTATATTATATACAACAGTACATGATATTGTTTTTAAATCCTTCCTAATTTTTCTCTAGCTTAGAATAATGAAGATAGAGCTCATATCCCTATTTATATGCATTCTTTGTTTTCTCTGAGACTGTCCAGTAGTATAACTATGGATCTATTTCAGGTGAAATCAAAACTTGATGTGCTGGCATCATATACTGATGCAAAATTTGGTTTAGTGACTCATGGATGGATTACTAAAATTGAAAAGCACGGTTGCTTTGTAAAATTCTACAATGGAGTTCAGGGTTTTGTTAGCAGGTTGGTATCACCATTTCCTATTTCTGAAGCAGATCAGCTTGGTGTTGTAAATCAAATTAGATTTCTCTACAAACTTGTAGATAATCAATAGTGAAAGATGCACTTATTTACTTTTGAATTGTGTATCTGCCTGTGAGGGTTGCTGGTCTTGTGCTGTTCTTGGCACCATTATTTTAGTAAATAGATATTTTGTCAAGGACCTGGGCGCCTAGAGTAGGAGGCCCTTGGCTTCTCAGTTCATAACTCGAACCAGGTAATGGAGGTGCCAGGGTTTTTGCCTGACTACCACAGCAGGGGGTGAGATTAAGAATAGCAGAGAGAGGGAGATTAGGGAATAACTTCTTTCTTACTTCCTTCAAAGAGTACAGGGGTACATATAGGAGCTCTGCTCCATTGCTACCTGTGCCAGCCCTTAACTGCTAGCTAGCTGGCTAATTAATTCCTTAATCTCTTTAACTTCTACTTAATTACCTTAGAGACTGCAGCCCCTCCAGCCGCCTAAGCCTCCTTGGGTTCTTCCAGGCCATGCGCACCCTTGGGGGCTGCCCTGGCTGCACCTCGTGTCCGAGGCCGGCGGCTGTACTGTTGGCCCCACATGACATATTTCATCACAGTTTTATTTATATGATATGATTCTGAATCATCTGCTTTCTTGATTCCTGGTAAATTGATACTAGATCTGACCTTGGATTAGAGGCTGGAACTGAAGCAGAAAATGTTTATCATGTTGGTCAAGTGGTCAAATGTAGAATTATCTATGTGATCCCTGCTTCAAGAAAACTAAATGTTAGTTTTGTCATATCCCATAATAGGTGAGTTCTCTACATGCTCTTTTGTTCTACTATTTTTATGTTCTATTAATAAACTGCCCTTATTTGACATGACGAGCTGTAATTGTTGCCTTAATTTTTACATGTATTTTTTAGAATTTCTTTGAAGTTTGTTGTTTCATAGAGCATTTTCTGTCATTTTACTTGTCATCTTTTAACAAGAAAAAACAAGGATGGTGCTAGTTCTCTGCTATGTTTTTTAACTTGTACTGAATATCCAGAATTGTCATTTTCCTGATGTGTAGATTTATAATTTAACTTTGATCCTCTTTGCATTTGTTTTTGCCCCATGTAGGGTTATTCCGATAGACACTCCAAAGTTGGGTAGTATTGTCTCTGGTGTTGTGGAACGGCTTACTCCTGCAGCTGTTGTTGTCAGTGTAAATGGCATCTCCAAGGGGACAATATTAAATGAACATTTGGCAGACCATCATGGTAAATCCTTGTCTGCTATATGATTGGCATGTAACCTATTGCATCAATAGTTCCCTTGTGGGTTCATACTCATATTCTTTGTTGCTGTTTATATTTCATATAACATTACTGCTCTACTGACCATGGTCTGTTTTTTCCCATTAGGTCAAGCTTCTCAGTTGAAGAATTTGCTGAAGCCTGGGCACGAGTTCAACCAACTTCTAGTTCTCGGTGAAGTCAACAAACTTCATTTGCTATCAATACACTTTGAAAAAAAAAGCAGAACATCCCTTTTTTCTGTTAATAAACATTTGACGCTTTGGACATTCATTACACAGTTATGTTATAAAAATGATAGCAAAAAAAGAATCTAAAGTCATTATGTCATGGCCAGTACAATTTTTTTTTAACCGATGGAGGATCGAGAATACACTTTCTAAACTGTTGTATATCTAGAGGGAGTACCATACTACCATGTATAGTTTATGAAACAATGTGCAGAATTTCACTGTTTTGCATGCACACTTGTAGCTTATCATGGTCTGTACATGACCTCACGATACAATCAGTTGTTTGCACTGCTAATGATGATGCACCTTTTGTTGTCAGATGGATATTTGACCACATTGCTAACTTTTCCATCTGATTTTCTAATACCTGTCTGCAGATATTGAAGGTCCAAATTTAGTTCTTTCGGCAAAGCACTCACTTATCAATTGCGCAAATGACATTCCTTCAGAGATATCGCAGATGCATCCTGGAGTTGTAGTTCATGTAATCTTTCTCTAGTTTTTTTTGCATAGCCTAAGATGAGCAACTCAGCTGACATTTATTTTATCTTAGGGTTACATCTGCAACATTATCGAAGCTGGTTGTTTTGTCCGTTTTCTCGGACATTTGACTGGTTTCTCTCCCAAGGACAAAGTAAGAAATTTTCAGCTCTGTCTTTCTTTTTGTTGATTTGATTTGAAAAGAATGTCTAATTTTTCTTGTTTCACAAAGGCAGTTGATAGGCGGATAGAAAGGCTTTCTGATGCATTCTATGTTGGCCAGTCAGTTCGGAGTCATATACTCAGCGTATGCCATAATTGTTGGTATATATTTGTTGTCATCCTCTATTACTTGTGTTCTTCTAATTTTTTCTGTTCCTCCCCTTGCAGGTAAATGCAGAAACTGCTAGAGTAAAACTCGCACTTCAACAGTCAATGTGCTCCTCAACGGATTCTTCATTTATTCAAGGATACTTTCTTCTGGATCAGAAGGTTGTAATAAAACAATTACCTCTTACTCTATGTTGAATAGAAGTTTCCAAAACTTTACGGTACTCCATTCCAAATTAAGATGTTTTGGCTTCTCTAGATTCATAGCTTTTGCTATGCACTTAGATATAGTGTAAGTCTAAATACATAGCAAAAGCAATGCATCTAGAAAAAACAAAACGTCTTATAATTTGGAGTGGAGGGAGTAGCTTGTAATAATAGTGCTTCGATGTGTGGGCATGTGAGATTTTGTGGAACCTGCTAAGTAGTTACAGTTTTCTTGTGGGAATGTGGGGACATGTGTAACTAATGGCTATTTTCTTGTATTATGTTACTGTATTTAGTTGTCCGGATGCTACTTCCTTTTTTTATGTGTACTCTCAGGGCATCTCGCTCATTTGCTGGCATATGTGATAGATGTGGCCTATTGGTCTCCTACAAGATAATCTAGGACGTGTGAGTTTGCTGTGGGTCTTCATGTAGGGTATTTTATTCAATAACTTTTAGCTTAGATCAAAATACCACTGCCAGTAACTCAAAGATAAATTTTCATATGTTGATATGTTAAGCTTATTGATAATGATGTTTTAGCATGCACTTATCGTTTGTGGCTACCTCTGATATAGATTGCAGCATTGAAGTACTCAAGCAATGATTGGGCTCACACTTTTGGCATTGGTAGCTTAGTTGAGGGGGAGGTGGGAGCAATAGAAGAATATGGCATTATCCTTAACTTCAAAGACCATCCGGATGTTGTTGGCTTAATCGAGCACCATCAACGTAAGTAATTTTGTCCTTTCATGATATTAACTATCCAACCCGCAATCCTGCCAATTTTTATCTTTTTCTATTTTTGCAGTTGGTGGCAGTAGTGTGGAAGTGGGATCTTCTGTGAAGGGTCTTGTTTTCGATTTATCTGATGGAGTTGTTAACTTGTCCCTTAAACCAGAGCTAATTGGCAGTGTTAGAAATGTTGGAAAAAAGAAGGTAATGTTTGTACCCTTGGTGTGAAGTTGTTAGTATACCTGGTCAGGCATGCCCTTGGTATAGGTATAACATTGTTTCATATCGTAACAACTTTATCTGGATCTCAATCCCTATTTTTTTATTGTCACCTTTAGTAAGCACGATATGCAGTTTTTGAAACTATATATTCAATCTCTATTTCATGTATTACCATAACTTTACATTATATCTCCTGTTTCACTTTAGAAACGCCAAAGGGCTGCAGTTGCAGACTTGGAGCTTCATGAGGAAGTGAATGCAGTTGTGGAAATAATCAAAGAGAGCTATGTGGTGTGTAAATTACTCTCTTGATTGACCAATTTGTTTGTTGAATTGTAGGCTGATTGCAATTATTTACTTTTTTGTTGTTGTTTTGTTTAATCCAGGTCCTTTCCATCCCTGAGTACAATTACGCAATTGGTTTTGCACCACTGATGGATTACAACTCACAACTGCTTCCCCACCACCACTATGATAATGGACAACGGTAATATTTGGAAGTTTGCCCATTTTGATTCCAATTCTTGCCTTGTTACATACTTCTCCCGATGGGAAATATAAGAACATCAAAGTTTGTCATAGTCATAGGTCAAACTCTTTTAACATTGATCATCAATATGTAAAATTTTATATAGATTGACAAGGGAAGATCAGCAATTCAGCATTACTAGATACATTGTAATCATTGTAATAGTTCTTTCATAATATGCTAATATATAAGCTTTTTCATTAAAGATAATATATTTTGTATAAATATTACTACTCAAAGTTGAAGAAAAGTTTAAACTGTGTCGAACCTTTATGGACTTATATTTCCAACTGGACGAAGTATCTGCTACTATTTGAGTACCCCTTACTGGAAGGCTTTGACATAAATGCTGAGGAAGCTTGAACCTTTCTATTTGTACTAGATAGTGCAGAACAATGTCATAATTAATCTCTTGATATAAATTCATTTAGGGTTACAGGCTTATCACTTTATCAGTCTTGACATAAACTGATTTTGAATTGCAGCTTTATCACTACAGAAGAATGTTGTAATTAGTCTATTGATATGGGCATCTAATGTATAAATGAGCTTTGCTCATGTGATCCCAGCTAATATTTGCTCGAGCTTGCAACTATCATAGCCTAAGCAGGAACATGTGAGCGAAACAATAAAGAAGAATGATATTTTGTGTTAGAAAAGATTGTACTTTTCTTGGGTGCAGAACAATAAAGAAAAGTGATTTCTTATCTGGACTACGTTACCCACTTGTTTTCTTATTTTTCTTTGTGTTTTTTTTTCTTTTCTTTTTGAAGCATTACTGTGGTTGTTGGAAATATCCCAAGTTCTGATTCTTCTGGAAGACTTATCCTACTACCAAAAGCTTTGGCTCAGTATTCTGCCCTCTCTGAATCTAAAAGGGCTAAGAAGAAATCTGGCTACAAAATTGGGTCACTTGTTGAAGCAGAGGTGCAATTATTTTCAATTATGATCCTAAAATTGGTAACTGTTATCATCTTCAATGTCTGCAAACTTTGCTTACACAAATCCTTTCTGGACATCAGATTATTGATATCAAGCCGCTTGAACTTCTACTGCAATTTGGTGGCAATCTTCATGGAAGAATCCATATTACTGAGGTGAACACCAGACATTGCTTGAGATGCCTTTCTTATAACAATATGTATTGGCTAATTACTAATTAGTGATACATTTCTCATAGGTTCTTGAAGAGGATTCTGATGAGCATCCCTTTAGTAAATTCAGAATAGGGCAAAAGCTTAATGCCAGAATTGTTGCAGAGGCTGAACCTTCTGGAAAGAGTGGCAAAAACTTCAAATGGGAATTGTCTATTAGGCCATGTATAGTCAAGGGTATGCTTTAATGTCTATTTTTAATTTGTCTATTCCATGATAAACAATCATCTCATATAGATCTTACAGCTTTGATTCAGTTCATCCATAGCTAAAATCCTATATGCCGACTGCTTTGCATTTTGTATACCTTTTTGTGTTTCTTAGTCTTTGAGATGGCTAACTTTGCTTATTGTTGGATTTTTTTTTACTTGAAATTAAGCAGGAGAGTTTGAAGAATTAACTGCTCAAAAAGAACAAAAGCACACCACAAATGAGATTGTACGTGCTTATGTCGTCAAGGTGGATAAGGAATGGGTCTGGTTAACTGTATCAAGAAATGTTATGGCTCATTTATTTGTACTTGATAGTTCTTCTGAGCCCAGCGAACTGAAAGAATTCCAGCAGCGCTTTAGTGTAGGCCAAGCAGTGAAAGGCCGTGTTATCAATGTGAACCGGGAGAAAAGGTTACTTCGGTTGAAGGCACTTGATAACCAATGCACACAGCCGAATATAGATGAAATACAACAATCAAAGTTCTCTGTGTTTGAACAAACAAAACAAGGAGATATCATCGGTGGACGTGTTCAAAAAATTCTACCTGGTGTTGGTGGGCTTGTCGTTCAGATTGGACCTCATCTCCATGGGAGGGTTCATTATACTGAAATTGTTGACTCATGGGTGGCCGAACCCTTGTCTGGATTCCATGAGGGCCAGTTTGTGAAGTGCAAGGTCCTGTCTGTGAGCCGCTCATCAGAAGGATCACTTCGAGTTGATCTTTCACTCCGTTCATCAAATCTGATCAGAGACTCTAACAACTCAGGACTAGTTGATGATCTGTAAGTGCTAGAGCTCATGTTTTTTTTTCATCAATTAAGGAACAATGCTCTTTTATGGTGTTCTCTTCCATTAAAAAACATAAATGGTACTCCAAACTGGCTTTGTGTATGAAGCATTAGCTCCAGATCTCTCCCTTTTGGGGGTAAAATCCTGAGCCACTACCACACAGCCAAGCAGGCCCTATGATTGTTGTTACATTGTCCAGAAAGTATATGTAGCATTCCCATTGTTATTTACATCATGTACCATTGTTGTTTCTTAGGGCAACCTGTACCTCCCGGATCGAAAAGATCAAGGATCTGCTTCCCGGAACTGAGATTAAGGTATTTTTCACAATTTTTTTTACTATTTTACTTTTATCTGAAGTTCTGTGCAATAAACATAATTTAACATGTGAATAAGACAAGTCTATAATTCAGGCATTATCTAAACATATATTGGATTTATCATTCATGAAAGACACAATCTGCTACTTGCCAACAAAAAAAAAAGCTGTAAATAGTGTTGGTGTCAACTCGCATAGTATAATTCTGGGTGGATTCCCTATATGCTGTACCATGACATCTGTGTTTTTTACCTCTTGTCCAAAGGTTGCCTGCAACTGATATTAAACTTTTTGTTTATACCTGTCAATTGTCATTGCTGAAGTTGTAGTATGCCATGAATTGAAGTTAGTTTTTTTAGGGGAAATACAGTAGGGGAGTCCCCTACTGTGCATTTTATTAAAAAAAGAATGAAGAGAAAAGGAGTGGAAGACAAAACCTGTATATGTTTTTTTCTCGAACTAAAACCTGTATATAGGTGAAAGGTGGAAAATAGCGGCATGTAACAGACAGCCAAGACAGAAAAAGAGCGCACAAGCTAGTGAATCGAGTTTAGCCGTAAATATATTGAATTTAGTTTTTCGGTGAATATATTTGATAAATAAAGGCGTGTTTTTTTTACCATTTACTACTGTGTATCTTCTGTAATGTGAAGTGACATGATTTGTTCTGCTACAATTCTAGGGCTATGTGAAGAATGTTAATTCCAAAGGATGTTTTATTATGCTTTCTCGAATGGTTGAGGCTAGGATTACTCTATCAAATTTGTCAGATGAGTATGTTGAAAATCCGCAGAAGGATTTCCCTGTTGGAATGCTTGTACATGGAAGGTGAGATCTTACCATTTTCAAATGCTCATATAAATTACAGATATGTTCTCCTGTGAAACTAACAAAAATCCGCAGGGTCCTGTCTACGGACCCATCATCAGGGAGAGTTGAGGCATCACTTAGGAAGACCACTGGTTCCAAATTGGAAAAGCTGGATGATATTAGTTATAGTGATTTGCATGTTGGGGATATCATTGATGGCCAAGTTAAGCGGGTTGAATCCTTTGGATTATTCGTTACAATTCGGAGAAGTGAACTGGTACATTGTTATCACTAGACTCAGCCTTTTGAAATCATTGTGTATTCTGTTTTGTAAACACTCTTTTGCAGGTTGGTCTGTGCCATGTATCAGAACTTTCTGATGAACCTGTCGTTGATATTAACTCTTGCTATAAAGCTGGTGATATGGTTAAAGCCAAAATTCTGAAGGTAAGGTTTATCTTTTTCAGGATTTTCATTTTGCCATTGCACGTTTTAAAATTCGTTATTTTGTTTTAAAATAAAGATCGATGAGAAGCGGCATCGAGTATCACTTGGAATGAAGAAGTCGTACTTTGATTCTGATCTGACTGCTGACACAAATGATGATGAAGATGATGAAAGTGCTCTTATGGACATCAGTGTTGCCCCTCAGATGGTTGAATATCATAACAGAAGTTTAGTTCATCGCAAAGCAGAACCAATGGCTTCTGTGCTGCCTCTTCAGGTTTGCTTGGATGAATCTGAAGGTTCTGACCTAGAGGATAATAATAATAATAATAATAATAAAGATCTTGAAATTGCAAATGGAACTGAAGCAAATGCTAAAAAGAATGATAAACAATTAAAGAAGGAAGCAAGAAAACAAAGGTATTCAGACATTTGATTCTACTCTGTGACCTTATTTTGTTGACATATGCATCAAACTTTACATCCTTCTATGGTTTTCAACAGGGAACTAGAAATCAGTGCTATGGAGGAAAGGGCTTTGCAGGGAGATGTACCACAAACTCCAGATGATTTTGAGAAGTTGGTCAGGAGCTCCCCAAATAGTAGTTTTGTCTGGATAAAATATATGGCCACTTTGTTAGATCTTGCAGATGTTGAGAAAGCACGTGCAGTAGCTGAGAGGTCTGTCTGCTGCCCAAAACATTTGTTTTTAATATGGAAAAGATCTTTGGTGATAGGAAGTTGCTTTCTATCATCTTAATAGTGTTGATAGATTTGATTTGGTCTTGTGTTGGTTTCATTTTCGAAGGATGTAGAATTTACTTGTTGAAACATCCTTTCAAAAATTTCCTTTTGTTTCTGTCAATTCAGATATGTGTCCTTTTTCTGTTAGTTTATTTAAACTTTTTGAATGCATCACTTGTCATCATCTTTTACAACTCTCTCATGTTTTTAGGGCTTTAAAAACAATAATCCCCAGAGAAGAAGAGGAGAAACTTAATGTTTGGGTAGCATATTTCAATCTGGAAAATGAATACGGTAGTCCACGGGAGGTAAAGCTGAATAATGATGTATTTTGGGTTGCTGTGCTGTACTTGGATATACTGAGACACTTGATTGTGTACACCACAGGATGCTGTGAAAAAGGTATTCCAAAGAGCCTTGCAATATTGTGATCCCAAAAAGTTGCACTTGGCTCTTCTTGCGATGTACGAGAGGACCGAACAGTATGAACTTGCAGATGAACTTCTAGACAGAATGACCAAAAGGTTCAGAACTTCCTGCAAGGTTAGTACATATAAGGTTATGCCACATTCAGTATGCCCTATTCGTATCTAAAGGGATCCTATTTGTGACCTGTATAATGTAACTGCAGATATGGTTATGCCGCATTCAGTTCGCCCTCAAGCAAGGCAAGGACGTTGAGTACATCAAATCCATTGTAAACCGTGTGCTTCTAAGTTTGCCACATAGGAAGCGCATAAAGTTCCTCTCGCAGACAGCTATTCTAGAATTCAAATGTGGGGTGCCTGAAGAAGGAAGATCCAGATTTGAACTAATATTGCGGGAGTACCCAAAAAGAACAGACCTTTGGAGTGTTTATCTTGACCAAGTAAGGAGCATTAAATTCATCAAAATGGCATCTGTACTTTTTATTCTTTCAAATTATGCAAGTTTGTTGACATACATTGACCTTTTGTAGGAAATCCGCCTTGGTGACATAGAAGTTATACGGGCATTGTTTGAGAGGGTGACTTGTCTTACCCTACCTCCAAAAAAGATGCAGGTATGGCTCCTTTCTAATTGTTAGTATTTTGCTGCCTTATATGTATTGTGAAATACATGCATAAACTTCACTCAGTGATTCTGTCATCATGCTGCTTTCACTTCCTGTGTGTACTTGATTTCATATGAGCGAAATATTACCTATTTTGCTTTATGTTACATTTCTTTGTTAAAACTCAACCTTGAAATGGGCGTTGGCTTATTTCTTAGTTGTGTTTCTGTCTTGAAATCTAGCATCTTTGTTCCTTTTACTGTAACACTGACATGATTGCTTGAATTAGTATTTGATTGATTGTTACTTGTTCCACTATGGTTTTGTGCTTCGCTATGTTTTTCTGGTAAAAAAATATAATAAGATGTCACTTGTTCTTTGGGACTTGATCTTTATGCTAAATGCTGTGTGCTTCACTGTCACAGTTCTTGTTCAAGAAGTACCTTAATTTCGAGAAGTCACTGGGTCAAGACAACGAAAGAATTCAGCTTGTGCAGCAGAAGGCAATTGAATATGTTCAGAGTTCACTGCCGTCACAAGACAACTCTTGAACTTCATGATACTTGATCTTTACCTTTGTGGCATAATCCCAAGGACAATCACATTTATGCTCGTTACAGGAAGACAAGCTTAGGAAATGCCAGTCGTACAGTTGATGTGATCTCTTTCTATTTTTCCATCTCCTTTCTTCTATTTCATTCTTCTATACGCTGAATTAGTCTTGGTTGAGTTTACGCAACGTGGTCCATACAGATCTATTTTTTTCTCTATAGATTAGTTTCCTTGTGATAGTTGATAGATAGATGTAACTTCCTATTCACTATTTTCTTGCTAAACAAACAGATCGATCTTTTCCCTTGCAGCATGTGAAATTAGGCTTACTTTTAGCATGTGCGTACTGCTATCCTATTAGTGGAAGTAGCTTCCGTTATTATATTTTACACTTTACCCTTTTGGAAGAATTAGTAAGTACACGCTTGCCATCTAATAAATTTATTAAAGTATTCCCTCCATTTTAAATTATAAGTCATTCCAAGAATCTTGGAGAGTCAAAGCATTTTAAGTTTGATCAAAGATTATACGAAGAAATACAAAGGTTTATGACATCAAATTGATATACTATGAAAATATAAGTAATGAAGAATCTAATGATAGTTAGTTGGTATCAAAAATATTATTATCTTATTATATAAATTTGGTTAAACTTGAGAAAGTTTGACTCTCCAAAATTCTTGGAATGACTTATAATTTGAGATGGAGGGAGTAGTAAGCTATCTAATAGTTGTACAAAATGATAGACATGCAAAAATCTCTACATGTGAATTTATTTCTTACATTTTTTTTATCACATGATGCTCAGATGGACATAGAACCGATTCCTGATTATGTTATCCAGCACAGAGCTCGGATGCTAAGTGTCTTATCGGTTGTCATGGCCATTATACAATGGCAACGGCGCCAGCGTCATCGTTGTAGAAAATTACCAATAAAATATGGGCCATTGCTCAGCGGAGACTTGGTGAGACAAACAATGCTAGATGAACTAGTCGGATAGCGATGAATGTCAGGAGGTGGCTGCCCTTGCTGCAGCTAGCAGTCAAGTTTCTTCATCTAGTGTCAAGTCCATGAAGTCTAACAAGAAATTTTTTAAAAGGGTTGGCAAGTCTAATACACTACCTGCTGTTGCACGGGTTGGCAGGGCCAGTAAGTCCAACACAAAACCATCTCCTGCCTATGTCGATGATGATATGGATGTGGAGATAACTAATGCTTTGCGAGGTATCCAACAGAACCTTGCAAAACCAGTGCAGATTGCACCTCCTCCCGATCCTAGTAGTCCTCTATTGGATATGCTCAAGAAGATCACATTACCACCGGACGATAGGCTTGCGGTACGGATGCACCTTTGCAAGCCAGAATTTCAAGTTCATCGCAGCTTCCTTATCAATATGGGTCAAGAATACCTTGAGCGTTGGGTGTTCAAATATTTATCTGGTAGTGATCCTGGTGGTGACTGATTATGGTTGATTGTAGCTGCATGATCTTTTGATTATGGCTGAGGGTCTGTTTTTGTTGCACCCTTTTGAAATCAGTATGTACAATATGACTACATGCTAATTAGGTGCTGCCAAAGTTGATAGTCAGAGAGGTAGCTGACATTTATGGAGAAGTTTCAGACTCTTGGGACACAGCTTATGTGATATCCTTTTGTGTATCGACGAATTATTATCTAATCTTAACTTGTAATATTTGTTAGCCTATAGCTTATAAACTCATTGTGTGAGAGATTATAAATTGAGCTCATATGAGTTCATTACTTATGATTGGAACACGAGTTCATGGTTTATTTGTTTCATAATGTGCTGTTCTCATCTGAAAATATAATGACTTATTTTATATAAGGTATTTGGTTTATTTATTCTCATGATGTGAAATGACCCATTTATCAACAATTACTTTAGCAATGAAATGGTTCATATGAAGTAATAACTTGGCACTCGTAGACAATAGTGAGTGTAATCCAGGCAAGCTATATATAACCAAATGATGCCTGGCTTCTCTACCAGCTCAGGCATACTTTCAGGCCATCAACCAAACAACATAGCATGTTTTAGCTTTGCCTAGCCAGGCATTCTTGCAAGTGAAGACAGGCAGCTCCCAAGCAGGTGAATAGCCCAGGCAACTAGTTCAGGGTACTATCCAAACAAGCTGTTTGTTGGACTCAGAATTACTATGATGATGCCACATTTTGAAAATGCGAATGCACATGGCGTCTGAATATGCACATGGTCTTTAAAATCTGTGCCAACAACATCGTAGTCAAGTGTTGTGAAATATTTTATGTGTGAATCAACGGGCGTGTATATGAAGACCGTGGATATGAAAGATGAGAATTGAAGAACAAGTGTACAAGAGAAAGAATAAAAATTTTCATGTTTCTCCTCGTTTTCTTTGTGCTCATGTTGTGCTCTATGAGTGCATTACCGGTCGATAGAACGATTTCTTTCTTAACATAGCATGGGTTCTTGTATTACTCAGGATGAGAATGCTACTTACATGAATTACCATAAAAACAACACTTGTGGATGCTTGAAGCACCATGGTACCATAATCGACCCTGAATTGCCTTCCTCTCACATTGGCCCGGAAGTACATAAAACCAACGTCGTCGGTGTCTCGGCAACGCCAAGCAATACAAAGAAAGTATGATGCTTTTCTATTCAAACGTCGGAGACAGATGAGGTACTCGAAGCGCCAAGAGGGACAACTCGATATCATCGGCAACATAGCCCGAAAACATTGCGATGAAGGTGGAGACAAAGCCTTGCCTACACACCCCTTGAAGCGGCCTTGAGCTCACGACACTGAAATGTTGTAACGCTTAGAAACACGAACAACGGTCTGCAACCAGATTTGTGTAATGACCAAATGGGCCAAGAGGGAGGTTGAATTAGGCTCCATAAAATTCAAAGCAACAACCTTAACCTATGCAAAATATAAACCTCCATAACATGGTGGCACCTAAGTTTTGCTACAAAAGGACACTAGGTAATCCTTAGGGCTATCAATCTAAATAAGACCTTAGCAAAATTCACACTAAGAGTATTATCCTTAGAATAGAAGCAAGAATGAAACCAATGCTAAGCACTCTAAAGGGACCGTGACTCCTAAGAGGGGGGAGGGGGGTTAAATTAGGTCACATGTTCAATCTAGATGTATTGTACCCTAGGTTCAAAACTTGTCAACTAACCTAGCAAACTAGACTAGGAAGGTAAAAGCAAACAACCAAGGAATGCAAGAAAGTAATTGCAGAATAACTATAAAACATTAGGTTGGCATCAAGACTATCCTTAAGCCCTTGGGTTATGATTACAGAAGAACCAAGATCAAACCATGGTGGGGGTATGTGGATGTTGGCTATATGTCTGACTCTAAGTGCATTTAGCCTTTTAGTGGGTTTTGGTTGATTAAACAATAACACGATTAAAGATCTAACAAGTTTGCTAAGTTTTGAAAGCAAACTTGAGATATGAAATGTTTGTATCATTTAAAGTGTATCAAAGGTTCTGTAAGGAAAATGGACCCTTGACCCATTTACTTTGGATTTTGGTGTTTGATGACCAACACAACCAAATTGGACTAATGAATTTGCAAGTGTTTGTTTTGTAGTCCGATAGGGTGCAAGACGTGACTTGGACGAAGGCGACATGATGATCTGATGATCAACACCTCAAGCAAGACCTTAGAAGCATAAGAAAAGACCCAAGATGTCAAGCAAAGTCCAAGCATGAAGATAGGAACCAAGCCGTGCGCAAGATCGCGAAGAAACGAGCTCGCAGAGGCTACCGGACGCTGGACCGGTGGCTCGGCAGACAGGCGACCGGACGCAAGGACCGGACGCTGGCGGCAACCGACCGGACGCAGGAACGCAGCGTCCGATCGAGTACAGAGAGGTTCCAGGCGCGCGAAACTGCGACCGGACGCGTCCGGTGGCAGGCGACCGGACGCTGGCAGCGTCCGATCGGTAGTTCGCGGCTACAACGGTCGGGACGACCGGACGCGTCCGGTCAGGACGATTCAGCGTCCGGTCAGTAGCAGATTTGCGGGAGTTCGACCCCAACGGCTACTTTCTCAGTGGGGCTTATAAATACAACCCCCAACCGGCCATTTGAGATGTGTGGAGCTGAGGAAACATATCAAGAGTGTTGATACACCATTTGAGTGATCTCCACATGCATAGTGCTTAGTGTTTTATTAGGTGATTAGCATAAGTGCTTTGCGAAGTGCTTAGGTTGATTAGACCACCGCTTATGCGCTTGCTCTAGGTGTTTGCCTAGTGTTTAAGTGAGGTTTGCATACCTCTTGCCACCCCGTGCTTGTGAGCACAAGTGTTGTACATCGGAGGGGCTTGAAGTCTTGCGAGATCGCACCAACCGCGTTTGTGGTGCGGCCGCCACCGTGTACCGAAGGGAACAAGGCCCGCGGCGTTTCGACCGAAAGCTTGATAGTGAAGATGGCGGGGAGCATCCGGGAGAGGCTTGCCGGAAGGCACATCGGAGACCCACTTGCGCGTGGGGAAGGCCCGAGGCTATCCACGGAGTTACCCGACCGGGAGCTTGGCCCTTGCGAGGGATTCCTTGCGAGGGGCTCCAACGAGGACTAGGGGGAAGCTTGCGCGCTTCTCGATACCTCGGTAAAAATACCGGAGTCGTCGACGGGAGTTTGCATATCTCTACCTTGCTCTTTAGCTTCCGCATTTACATTGATTACTTTACTACGTTTGCGGTAGAGATAGCAACACACTAGCAAAACCATAGTTGCACATCTAGATAGCTTGTCTATTACATAGGTTTTGCTAGGGTTAGAAAAAGAGGCCATAGTTTAGAGTTAGTTTTTTAAGTTGCCTAATTCACCCCCCCCCCTCTTAGGCGTCCACGTGTCCTACAGGTTCAATAATAAAAGCAAACTTGAAAGCCAGAATGATGTATTGTTGCGAAGTCAATACTAGTTCAATCAGAAGACAACAATGCAAATGGAATTATTGAAAGAG